AATCAAGTGTAAATGCCAAGTTCCAAGTTTATCCGACTTCTTGTGTAGAGATTGGTTCCAATCAATATTTTAAATTAATTTTGATTTCTTTATTCCAGTCAGATACAAGGAAGTAGAATGCATGCTACTTTCCTACTATGGAAGGCAAATACGTCTCGAACGTCAGTTCGATTACATTCTAAGTATTGTTTGTTGTATTAACAAACCCTATGAAAATCTGGTGAATTCAGTCATATAAATGACTTCGACTATGAATTAATTAATTAAAGTTGTAGTTTTTGAAAGGAATTCATATTCATTATTTGTTTAAATGGAATCAGTATGAGATGAGGTGGTTTGAACTTGTGAAATTTTTTTAAATGCCTATTTATTACGATTCTTATTTAACAGATGTTTAAGGGACTTGAAGGCGAAAAGCCTCAGTTTCTCAATATTTCTCAGTATTTTATGCTGAGTCGACTCTATTCCTGAACCAATGGTTTAACCTATTTTAAGATATCAATTCGAAAAAATTAACTTGAGATCATTTCGTAATTTTTCGTTTTTGCCTGTTTCGCTTGTTAGAGAATTAATGCACTATTTGTTGCACTAATGTCTTCGATTAACAGAGAAAATCTTTTCTAGTTTAATAAAAAATCCATTAAGATTGAGTTATCATGGAAGCATTAGTGGCAAGGATATAGGAGTTTTCTCAAGAAGGAAGCGGTCCAGGTTTTATGAAGAGAATTCTCCGAACCTTTGTGAAAATTTTTTGACCATTCTCCACTACTATTTATTGTCCATAATTAAAAATGCAGAAAAGATGTATAAAGATGCAGAAAAATCATTTAATTTATATAGTTTCTATTCATATGGTTTTTTTTTGAAATCTACTGGATTAATAATTCATTTATTTCATTATTTTACCAGTTGACATTTGATGATATTAAAAAAATAATTCTGCTTCATAAAAGTTAAAAATTATTTTGTCACTAATCTATTTTGCGAATTTTCCCACCTCTTATTTCATTTAATCAAAATGATTAGAAAGGTTGAAATAATTTTATAGCCTTTGCAATAAAGTGGCGATCACTAACTTTTCAAAGTGCATTTGTTGCAGATATTGTTTCTGTTATGTTAATTCTAATCCGTCAGCAACTTTAAAATCATTGTTTTCGCACTACTATACACTAATGATGGAAACGAGGCAGCGACTAAAGAGCAATAGCTATCAGTTAATACATTTTTAGTTAAAATCCGCTACATTTATAAGCTAATCCAAAAATTAAAAATAATGAGTGAAGCAAGAACAACAGGAAATAGTGGTCACTATAGAGAACATTTATGGCCAAATTTATAAGGAAATTTCTAAAATTAATTTATATAAATTTGTGCTAAAATCCATTAAATTCAACTGATCAACGTATTTCCATATCGAAAAAAACCTCTCTTTCTTTAAATATCTACGGCACAGCTCTACAGCTGTGCACGATACGGTTTTTAATCAAAAATTATCGTCTCAATTGAAATTCACTGTAAAAACTTTTGTTGTGCACGAAATTGTCATCGAAATAAATTAGGAAATCTGGTAATAGGTTTATTCCCCATTGATTAGATGGATTCATTTTAAGAGTAAATTCTCTCAAATTCTCAATTTATCCTGAGAATTATACTGAAATTAAATCAATCAATAAAATCAATTTCTATAAAATTTTATAAAATCTGTTTGGAATCGTAAGTGAATGTGTAAGCTTAAAAAATCATTATTTCGTTCGGCTGCAAATTTTTATTCAACTCGAATAATTGTTTCATTTAAAAAATGCTTAAAAAAAGCGAAAGATATACCAAATTCAATCAAACATTTGTCAAATAGCTGACAAAATAAAATTATTCAAAAAATATTTCCAATATTTCAGCCATAAATTTGACTACTTTGATTTATAGCCCGAGTTGTACAGCCAAATATTTTTTGTTATAATACCACATTGATGAAAAATGGAGTTTTTTTGGGAGGCTTTAAGTGGTGAGGTAGTCGCCTTCGAATATGGGAAAATTTAATTTTAATTAAATTTAGTTCTTATAGGATGTAAAATAGCACCGAAGGTTCATCTTTCATGTGTTGCAATAATGTCTTTCCCTTCCTCTTCTAACAAAGTTGGTTAGCATTCACCATTTCTGGTTAAACTGGCACCACTGGCTATAAGTGCGATTCGAAATTTTTGCCAAGGGATGACAATCGGATTTTTTAGTGATTCCTTTCAATAGTGTGCTAAGCAAGACCGGAGCCTTGTTGCTCCAAATGATGTTCTGAGCAACACCAGTGCTATCTCCTTCTAGTAGTAAAACTATCTTACCGCAATAACAAGTTTGTCAAACAAAATTATCTCGCAAAATAACTGTCAATCGGAAATTTTTGTAAAAATTGGCGTTTTCACTATATTTCATATTCGATATACGTCGACACCAGTATGTTTTTAAAGAGTAAGAGTAACGTTAAATTTACGATGTTACCGTCATTTCTGGATTATTAATCGCTGAGGCTTTTTGAAAATCCATAAAATATCTGAATAAATCACTAAATAAATATGTCGCAGTTGCCACAAACAAGTTACAACATATATTGATTGCATAATTTTGTTTCAGACACGTTATTTGATACTTTAAGATATGATATTTGGGAAATGATGTATAATCATTACGGATAATAAATAATCTACTTAAAATTTCGATAGAATTTTTGCTGAAATAAATGCAATTCATCAGCCTTTATGTTTTAAGTTGATCTTGATGAAAATGTTTTCGATTCGAGAAACTTGTAGCAGTTCCGGGAAATATTATATTTAACGAAATATCTTTTTATTATTCAATTATTTACATGCTGAATATTACGAATATTAGTACAATTTTATTATGCATATTGCCAAATATTTCCACTTTACACTATTTTGAAAATATTTTATAAAAAAAGTAATTATGTGAGAGATTAATTTCGTAATTTTGCAAATAGAATTTTATAAACTGTATATGGAAAATATTCTTACTAAAAAACATTTTTTTTCTGAGAACACTCACCATTTTTAGTCACACTCGCTTCACTGTCTTCTCAGAGCAGAGAAATTTTATCGGAAAATACTAACAAAAGTGCAAGTGAGCTACCAGCAACACCCGAATTTTTTTGAAAGGTGACTTTGCTATTGCCTGAAGTAGAATTCTGGCATCTTCGAAATGAAATCAGAATGCATAATTAAGTTTAAAAAATACTTCAATGTTAGAGATTTATTTTCGTCTTATCCAAATACATTTAATATTTCTTACGTTCTCTAGGGCAAACGGCTTAATAATCGAAATATCATTTTATGAATATTTTGCCCACCCTGAGTCTTATCAGGCCAAATGATTATATGCTTTGAAGTCGTAATAATTATGGTGATAGATAAGGCATATGATGGCCGTGAATGCTGTAGAGTCTCATTCGTAAGTAGTATTGTGATGCTTTGAGGGTTATTGACGATGTTTTTGGCGGTTTCTAAATTGCAAACAATAAGGCAATTGCTGTGCCAATATGCACTTTATTTTCTTATAAAAAAACTGTTAAATTCAGGTGATCTGTATTCTTTTATTGGCATTGTCAATGGATCAGTCCTGAATCAATTTTGCTCATTTAGTCATCCATTTTTTAATTGCATAACAGGAAACTTTATAAAAAAATTCTTATGGTAAAGCAGGTAGAATAAAAATTCCTAAAACAAAACTCGCATATTAGCATCAAATGTAATCAGGACAAAGCTAAATGAATCCTTGAAACCGAAAAATGATTGGTTAATACAAACCAATCGTAACTAAATGTCGATCTGTCAGTCGCTTGTTCATAATGCCGTTCGCTACTCGATTTTTCCTGTGAAAGCTATGTGAGCATTACTCAGTATTTCTGATTTAGCTTTGCATTTTGGAATAAAATCTTTTCATTAGAGAATCATTCGAGAATAGAATTAAAGACAGCCGGGCACTATAATATATGCTTAGAATATGAGTAGATCAGTATAATAATAGTGAGAAGCCGCCTTTCAAGCCACTTTTTTTGAGTAGATTTCATTATTTGATTGAAGTTAATCGGAAACGAACTATTACATATTTTCTATGAGTTAAAATCTTCAAATCAATTTTCTTTTAAAAAGCCATCAAAGAAAGTACAAAATGATACTACTCAATTTAATTTAGATTTAATTGAGTGGCGCTCACTAGCACTCCCAAATATAAATAAGTCGCTAGCACCATTTGGATTTTTTAATGGCGGGTTTACTTTTATCGAAGACGGAACCCGTATTTCGGATCTTCAGGAAATAATCTGAGCAACAACCACTTGGCTATCCATTCTCCTAAATTTTTAGATGACAATTTGATAATAGAATTATCTTTATAATACAAAGTACAACAATTTATCTTCTAACAATTTCAAAAAAATACTCAATTTAATTAATAATTTAAAGAAATTATGAAGAAAATTAATGCGAATCGCTTCATAAGTTTCAAAACAGTCTCTAGAATCCGAAAATTTGTAGAAACCTATGATTTATCAATAATAATAAAATGTACGAAAAATCAAGCATTTTAGATTATAATTTAAACAATTCCCCACTTATATTTGTATCCCTTTTTAGAAATATTATCATTCTTGAATAGTACTATAGGTTTTTTTGGTTAAATCATATATTTTTGGACAACCATTTTCGATGAAATCGAGTAATTAATAGGTAATTTATTAGAAAAAATAATCATTTTGCTTACCCATAATCGTTGACTTCTTTGTTTTTATTTGTTATTTTATTTATATTTTTTCAAACAATAAGCATAATGAAATCGATGAAATTTACGGATAAAATATATTTTCTATCGGTTTTAATGAAAATTTGTATTATTTTATGAAAATAATCTTTTTTTAGCTAAAATGGTATTATTATTGCCTCAAAAATTGTAGTGTGCTGAGCTTCGATGAATTAGCAAAGGCGATCAAATATTTTTAAATGGCTTTACAGCTGATCATTTTCTGTGATATTATTATATTTATGACATTTATTTATTGCATTAGTGGCAGCTATCATGAAAGGAGATTGTACGAAGATTTAATGCGTGATTATAACAATTTGGAAAGACCTGTTGCTAATCATTCACTTCCTGTCATTGTTAGCATTTCTCATTATGATAAATTGCGCACTTTGTTAGTTCAGCCTAAAAATCGTTTGTGGTTAATTAAAATCTCAGCAAAATTTGATCCATTTAACAATAAATAAGTGCAAATATTCAAGGTTCGTTCATAAATGTCGTTTTATTCGATTTTAGAATTTCAAGAATTTCATGAAGAATTGCTCATTAACTTGATAAATTCATTATCGATATTCTTTATTCTATATTCTTTACAACGTTGAAATTTAAAATTAATCAAAGTCAAAATTTCAGGTTTATCTTAAAGTATCGCTTCAACAAATAATTGATGTTGATGAGAAGAATCAAATCGTTTACGTGAACGCTTGGCTGGATTATGTTAGTTTATATGTATATATATAAAACTCTATTACCTGTCATTCTCAGTATGAATCAAACTTATCTTGTTCATTTCAATATTAGATAAACATAGTGCTTTGAAGCGAATAGTAAGTAACAACGATGAAAATTTCTATCATCTTATCGTATTCGAAAATACGAAGAAACGAAACCTGACCTGAGTCATTTTAGCAATTTGCACCCACATATTTCTCTAGAAAATTAATGCCATCATAGTAGTATCCCAAAGCTCCACATTGGCTTGCAGATACTATACATTTCGCTACAATTGCTACTGTATATTAAATGGATTAGCCATTTTGATTGCTTATATTTCACTGATGTGTCTCGCTGGCTTGCAATCTGACACATTTCGTTAATTTTTCATGTATTTTTGAGCGCTTTCCAATTCACGTTAAGATTTATTGCCTTATGTGCCGTCAAAAATATACAAGATTGAGATTTAAACAACATATAAATAGGTAAGAAATTGTATGGCTTTCTTACAGCCAGCCTTTCATCAAATTCCTTATTTAAATATAAGAAAAATTTGATTCAAAAATTATTTTAGTCATGGAACGACTATAAACTAAAATGGGATAAATCAGAATATGGCAATATTTCTGATGTGAGATTTCCAGCTGGAAGAATTTGGAAACCAGATGTACTTCTTTACAACAGGTATAGCACAGCGGTTTATGAAAACCTGGTCCATTATCATCGGTTTATTCCATTTTTTTGAGAGTGTAAGAGATAATGATGGAACCTTTAATGCATAAAATTAAAGAATTTTCTTTAAGTGTCGATGCAAACTTTGATTCGACATATCCGACAAATATGCTCGTATACAATACTGGTGATATTTCATGGATTCCTCCAGGAATCTTTAAAATCAGTTGCAAGATTGATATCAGGTGGTTCCCTTTTGATGAACAAAGGTGCTTTTTCAAGGTAAATAATTCCGTTAAAAATATTTTAGCAAGTACATTTCATTTGTTTTTTCTATCCTGACACCATTTACTGAGCAATTTGGCAAAAATGGTATGTTTTTTTAAATAAGGTTAAGGTGAATGAGGTTATATGGATTGAATTTGTAGCTCCGTTAATGAAAATAAAAAATAAACTTGTATTCAAAAGTGAAACAGGCTGATGTCAGAGATCAATACCTCTATCTCCAAATGAAAAAAGATAACGCATTAATAGTCACTGGGCCAAACCAAACCAGAAATAGTCAATATTAAAAGATCAAGGAGAAAAAGCACCATTTATTTAAGCATTAAATTGGAAATTTATATAGTTTGGTTCTTGGACCTATGATGGTTTCAAATTGGATCTTCAGCCAGGAAAAGGCGGTTTTGATATATCTGAATACATGCCAAGTGGTGAGTGGGCATTGCCAAGTAAGTTGTGCAAAATTTTTCCCATTATAAGGTTTTTTAAATTCTTTTCTTTGCAGAGAGCATTTTTACAGCAAAAAGTACCATTCATGTTCAATAAATTTGCATTTAGCATCAAATGGAAAGTTTCCTTCACAAATTTTTAATAATTCAATGCAGTATTTCGAAAGACCCATTTAGCAGAAAGGTTTGGTATTTAACGGGACCGCTCGCTGCATTTATTTATTTGAGCATTCTGTACGCACTGAGATCATTAATGATTTTAGTGACAACTGTATCACGGTCAGAAAAATTTTATGATTGCTGTCCTGAACCCTATCCAGATCTTACATTTTACCTTCATATGAGGAGGCGAACGTTATATTATGGTTAGATGGCATTATTCTTTTTTAGTTATCGCTCAACGATTCAAATGATTTCAGTGAAATTGTCCGTAATATTTGCCTTTTTCGCATGAAAAAAGTTCTTTAAGAGAAGATCCATCCTAATCACTGGAAAAATGAAATAGAATTTCAGCAAATTAATTCTCTTTTCTCAAAAATTTTTGTACTACGACTAAACAATTCCATATTTCGAAATACATATAAATTGCTTGCACTACACTCAATACAGTTTGGAAAAATTCAGGTTTTAACCTAATCATGCCATGCATTTTAACAACAATGATGACTCTGCTCGGATTTACTCTTCCACCCGATGCAGGCGAAAAGATCACATTACGTAAGTAATAATAACGCCTTTCACGTGCAGAAAATTTGCGATACAAACAATATTTTAAAACAGAATAGTTATTTCAGAAATAACAGTTCTGCTTTCTATATGCTTCTTTTTGAGCATTGTTTCTGATATGTCACCGCCAACCTCAGAAGCGGTACCACTTTTGGGTAAATTTGATTAATACAAAATTATTCTCTTTGTTTGCTTTCTCATATTTTTATCGCTTTATTTCGATTATTGATCAAACTTCTATCTGCAACATGCATTGAATAATCAATTTATAAGGTGATTTTTTGAGGTATATTCTTCTCGTGTTGCATGATAGTTGTAACAGCATCAACAGTTTTTACCGTTTATGTACTCAATTTACACTATCGAACACCAGAAACCCACGAAATGGGAACATTGGTTAGTAATAATTTAATAAATTATATATTATCGATATAATTTGAAAAATATATGAATGGTTTTGTATGTTCAAATTGCAGACGCGAACTATTTTATTGTATTGGTTACCATATTTTTTACGCATGAACAGGCCTGGAATTTATCTTACCTGGGAAACACTACCACCTCTTTTAACTTGCTCAAAACCAACACGCCATAGCGAATCATTAATAAGAAATATTAAAGAAACAGAGACAGGATCCAGGTACTTGCTTAAAAATTCTTCGCTTTAAAGTTTACCGGATGCATTTTGAATCTTCACTGGCAAATGAACTTAAATTTGTTCGAATTTCTATACCAAAGATTTCGCGATCGAATTTCTTCTTTAGCTCATATATTCCCACTTTTTAAGCTCATATTCCCCAACTTCATTGAATTGTAACCCAACGACAATTTATCAACTAAAACAATTATTTGTAGGTCGAATTCACTGGATGTAGAACGAAAAGTCTATCAATATATGAGAGGCATATCCAAAGGGAGAGGTACTGGTCAATATACGACACTTAATGGTCCGAACCCTCAAATTAACCAGGTTGACATAGGTCAACAAGCTACAATTCTTGTCTTGCAACGAATATACCAAGAACTTAAGGTAATTTGATTAAAAATCGATGTGAAATTTTTTATAAAGTTTTATAAAAAGATAATAAGTAACAGAAATGATATATTTAACAAAGAAACATTATCATGAGTACATACCACAACCATATAAATTCAGACAATCACCAAACGGATGATCGAAGCAGATCGCGAAGGTACACAAGCAAACAACTGGAAATTTGCAGCAATGGTAGTTGACCGACTTTGCTTATATATATTTACAATATTTATTATAGCATCCTCTTGCGGAATATTACTATCAGCGCCTTACATTATAGCATAAATAGTACTTAATGTAATTCCGCTTTTTCAGAATAATAAAAATTTTTAGCAAACTTTTTGATTGATCGCTTTTTTGCACAAATGATATTCTTAAAATAACTAACAAACCACTGGCATTTTTATTAGTATCAGCGAAAACTATTTCATTGCGAATAAGAAATTTTATTTTATTTTTGCAAAATCCTTCCCTTTACTTTTTGTTCTCTTCTGTTATAATCGCCTTCAATATTTATTGCTATAAGAAAAAAGAACCGACTGGAAAAAGCTGAAAAAATTAAAAAAAAAAAGCAAATGAAGCAGACCACAAGAAGACACAATAAATATGAGCATTTCTTAACAAATTAACGAATTTAAGACAATTACACAAACAAGGAACAATTATTAAAATTTAAAAATCCCAAAAATAAAATTTAAAATCTTTTTTCTAAAATTACTAAATTTATATTTACTAAAAATTATATAAACAAGAATCCAATGAACAGAGGTCGTTTTTTTAATGGCAAAAAAAGATTAAATTTCCCCTTTCTTTTCTAAAATGAAAATTGTGAACAAGAAATTTTGGTAATAAAACGAAATGAAAATTGGATATAAACTTAAAAAAACTAAAACGCTATTAAAATGTATTAAACAACAATAGAAATACTTTACTACTAATCAATATCGTTCGAATATTATAAATAATAACAATTAAAATATATAACAAAAAAATAAATTAATTACACAATATAAATTAAATTCACAAAATAAAATAAATTTACAATATAAATTAACAAGATTAGAAAAAAACAACCGACGATATCAGAAATTATCCACTCAAATATAAAATAAATTAACACAACATTTTCAATAAAAAATAAAAACATCACAAACCTCTTTCGAAAACATGAAAAAAATCTAATATTCCTTTTTCGCTTTATGAGTAGACTTAAATTTCGTTTCCGCAGTTTTCCGTTCTCGTTTTTTCAAATTATCCATATTTACTTTGAGCACTTGAGCGTATGCGAGATGAAATTTATTCACTTCCTTTGCATGCACCTTAAAATTGGTTTTTGCACATATTTCAAGCTCAAAAACATTTAAAGAAGTGCATCCACTCATAAAACGCCTTAACAAAATACTACTTAGCGAAGTACCACTTGAATACTACTTGAATTTTATATATGAATAAACATAATTAATTATGCAATATAATATCGAGGTAATTTAATAGCAGAAATGCAAACTGTATTTCTTAAAATCCTTACATTATTAAAGAATTAAAACCAAACAATAAAAATACACCTTTATTCTTAGAATTCTTAGAATTCTTAGAATTCTTAGAATGACAACAGCTTTTAGAAGCAAATCTTTCTAGCAAACTTGTAAAAAATATCTCAAAAGAAATAATTTTCATTAATTGAACTAAACAGATGGTTTTCAACCTGTACACTTTTTCTAATAAGAATCGTGCAGTAAACTTTCTCCATCACAAATGATCTGCCTTTCGCATTGCATTTGTAATTACTATTTGTTTCTCACGGTATTTTTTAATGTTATTCTTGTACTAGAAATTATGTAGATTTTAAAACCAACAAAACCAAAATTTTGAAGCCAAAAATACCATAACATTTTTCCTTATCCGAATATACAAAAAATACATAAAAAACATACTACTGTACTAATTTTCTTATTACCAAGTTTCGCTCTAAACAAACACAAATCCTCGCTTTTTTCTGTTTTGACATTTGATGTCTTGTTCAAACTAGGAATCGGCTTCGTTCTTCCATCATCTTAATAGATTTTTCCAATAGATTTAAAGAACATAGTTAAAATGGTCAAAAATCAAAAAGAAAGAAAATAATATTATCATCAACAGATCAAGATTCAAGGCGAGCCAAAGTCGCTCGGTTCTTAATTTTGACGGCGAAAACTCATATGAATGAATATTTGGTACTTTTCGGTTATTCTCACTGATAAGGAAACAGCAATGCAATTGGATGCGATACCACTGAAGAATTAAAACAAGACTGCAAGATAACAAATGGAAGAAGTAAAACATTGCATATTTTCATAAATGGGGATAGAAAGGCTCAGTAAGTTGCTCAATTCTGAATGCCGATGCTAAGCTTCTATTCCCTGCAGAAGTAATTCTATCGCCAAGGGATTCCCTGGCATATTGTCCAGTGCGACAAGCCATCTGAGCGAGTTTAACCAGTAATGGTGGAAATTCTTTAAAAAAATTGAGTATTTATGAAAGAGTATTAGGTTAAGGGTACTTCTTTCTTCACCTACCAGCAGCTATTACCACTGCTGGTTAGACTATCACGCTAGCTACAAGAATTCTGCTTTCCACTCAGTGCAATGCCATATCTGCGAATAACAGAAACCACTCCTTTCTCCACTTTCCTTGCCTATATTTTGTTGGTTCGCTATAACACTCCATATATCGCTCAAAATTTCTCTTAAATGTGTCAGACTGGTCTTTCTTGATTTTGAGGCAATCCACCGCATGGTTTTGCATATGGCGAAATGTATGTCAATTTCCATGAAGATAAGAATCGAAGATAAAAACAGTCATGAGAAGCGTCGCCAAATTAAATATTCTTATGAAAGGCTGTGAAAAAAAATGAAAACATACGAACTCTCTCAAGTTGAAGCTATATAACCGAAAAGCATCAAACATCACCATTTCGCTCGATAAATTTGAAATTTATCAAAACTTGTTTTAAAGATCGCCGAAAAAAGAAAACTGCGCAAATTTATAACTCCGTACGAATTGCTAAGGTCGAAATAATAATTTTTTAAAGGTTTTATAAACTTATAAATAGAAAAAATAACACTTTCCATTTATTATTTTCTTTTTAAAATTATTCAACGAATTTAAGAAATAATGAAGTTTTTTTCCCTTTCTGTAATTGTAATTTTGGAAATGTAATTTCCTTTTGAATTTTTGTTTTTCATGCGGAAATCCGAGAAAAAAAAACAGAAAAACAAAAAAACTAACAATGTTTTAATGTAATTCGTAGCGATCCTCCCAAACGCGATTTATTGAACATTTTCGATAATTCAGAAATGAAATGGTCGTTGTCTAAGACTGTCATTTCCCACTTTTTTAATTAAAAATTCAAATTTGTTCCAGAAAATTTCGAAAAAAAATACGAACACAGTCCTCAAAGGAAAAAAAATTAATAAAGAAAAATTGTTCGCCAATCCGATCGAAAAGTTCCATTTGTTTTTGACAGATATATATTTTCATGCAGCATCTGTATACCTAAAAGCCCCGCCCTCAACATAGATTGGCTGACTTTTGTGTTAGAGTATTTATTTTACATCACTGAAGTTTAAGATTTATCTAATAAAGCATGCACTGATACATCGAGCAGTGCTCCACTATGCTTTTGCGCCCAGTGACTCCGAGGCAAAATTTGCCGGCAAACTATTGGAGTGAGTCTGACCGGAAATGGGTGCCGGCAAACCAGTGAAATGAGTCTGACCGGAAATGGGTGCCGGCAAACCAGTGAAGTGAGTCTGACCGGAAATGGGTGCCGGCAAACCAGTGAAGTGAGTCTGACCGGAAATGGGTGCCGGCAAACCAGTGAAGTGAGTCTGACCGGAAATGGCGAGCTCGTTTTAAGAAATATTAAATATAAAATACAAAAAATAGCAAATAGCATATTGCAAAAATAGCAAGCAAATATTTAAGTGGTATGAAACCATCCAAAATATTTTCTCCGCGGTTAATGAAGGAGAAAAGAGAAAAGAGAAGACGGCGAAGAAATAAATGTTAATTAATAGGATGCACCCCACCTTTAGCGGACTTCTGCGAACAAAAGATTAGATGACCTTTACAGATAAATCATTGGTAAATCTCTACACTGCACTGACCCTTACGCCATCGATTTCGAACCCCTATGTTATTATATTTTAGTTTTTATTTTAAGTTGACCATTCACTTTTGCTTATTTTTAAACAATTCAACATCGACCCAACTCAGGAATTATTCCTTTCGGCAAACACACAAACATCGTTCCTCGCCAATTTTTAAATTTCCTCTAACTGGCACCATCGCCGATTTGGCTCGTTCCACTGGCGACTTGTCTTTCAAGCTGGCTTATGCCAACCGGTCATTAATCGATTTCCATGTGATATTTGTGCAAAGTGTTATCGCCTCACTCCACACATTCATGAGTTTCTAACATTGCACGTAATTATAGCCAAGACTTCCGCGTACAGAGCCAGATGACATTTGCCGGACTTCCTTAGCTGCAATTTTCTTAGCCCGAGCGTTGGCCATAGTTACGTGCAAGTGCTTCGCAATACATAGAGTCCCTTTGGATTACAAGTACAGTTAATGTGGACACGTGGATTTCGATTTTAAGACAGGTTTATTCTTATCCAGACAAACAAATAAATAATTTCCTAAAATAAAAATAATAAAATTTCAGTAGGAAATTTCGAGAAATAAACTTTATTTTATTAAAATTAATTAAAATTAAAAGTTAAAATGAGAGGAAAACCACAGTTGATTGGATTAATGTATACATCTCTACCATAAATTCAATTTCTTTGCGACGGTACATGTTTGGCGTAATTAGTTCCATTTTTACGATGTTGCAGAGCTCGAGGTACGATAATTTGGTGGTTTTTCCGAAATATAAAAAGAAGATATTTTATTGCAAATTTACTTTTTTAGAATTTGTGGCATGTTTTATGACAAAAAATCTCCATTTTTCTTCATTTTTATTTGGAAGAATTCAGTTAAAAACGTTCATGAAAAATGCATTACAAAAAGTAAATAAATAACCGATTTTTTCCTATTCATGTTAATTCTATTGGAAACCACTATTCGCTTCAAAGGCCTATTTTCCAGCTGAAATTTACCCTGGCTAATTTAAATTTTTTATTCGGGAGAGTTTTTCGAAATCTTTTGAATTTCAATAGTCTTTGTTTTCACTATCATTATATTTGTTTGCAAAATAGTGCATCTGCAAGAAATGCAAATAAGTGATTGCATTATCTATAACTGAAAGCATCATAGATCAAAATATTTGTATTTTTAATGATTAAATAAATTGATTTGAGTAGATTTCCTAGTAAATGCGACAATTTATATTTTATAGTCATAAATCATCCAATTATTAAATTTACTCGGTGTTTGAAAGTTTATATAAAGTTTACTATTTTAAAGACTTATTTTTATTAATATTAATAATATAATATTGATAAAAACTTTACTAATATTTATTATAATAAACATAGCGCTTATAATAATAATAATAGTAATAATAATAATAAGAGTAATAATGAATGTAATAAATGGAATAATGAAGATTTAAAACCAGTGATAGCGGTGATTTCTATTGGCAGTCATTTCGTCGCAATAGATTTATTATTATTATAAGTATTCTATATTCAATATATGGCAAAATTTTCATTTTCAGTACGCGTTTGTCAGTTTTCAATCGAAATTACTCTTTTCGTTCAGCAATATGAATTACATTTCTTTTTTCTCGAATATGTTTTACTTGAATTCCTAATTGCGAACGAATTCATCAGGAGAAAATTCCGATTCTGCCACCAACCTTGATTGCTTTTTTTTATAATCTAAATTTACGGCTAAAAAATTTTAAAAGCGTAAATTTCACCACCGAACAGGAATTTAGAAAGATAGGTAGCTACGTTGTGCGTGCAATATTAATTGCGATCGCAACACGAGAAATAAATTTCGGCTAATTGTCTCAAATCCCAAATCCTTCTTTTTTTTTATTTGCTTTTCCTTTTCTTTAAAAAAAGTTAGCTTTTTCTTTTCTTTAAAAAAAGTTAGCTTTTTCTTTTCTTGCAAAACCAAATGAATTATTCAAATAAAATATATTTTGCATTTTTAACCAGGCAAATTAATAGATTTTTTTAAGAATAAATTTTCAATTTTCATCCAAATGAATAAAATTTGTTCTTGTCAGTTGGTTTAAATTTGACTTTTTTGAGGACTTTCAAAACTACACTTCCTTAATATTTGATCGCTTACTTTTGATTCTTAAAGTTTTTGATTCTTGTTTAGAGAATGAATGTAATATGAATGAAGAAAGCTTTAGGAAATATTTCTTTCTGGGATTGGAACTGATTTTAATAAGGTCAAAATTAGAATGTCAGTGCATTGATGCTAAGTTCAAATGAAAATTCAGAAAATATGAAATTTTCTGGATTCTGTTCATTTCTAACTCTTCGTTATTGGAGAGAGTTCAGTACATTATTGTTTAAAAATTTTTTTCACGTTACAGTGGTAGTGGAAAAGTTTTTCTCATAATTCAATACACTAGTAAGTACTAAGAGTTTTCACATTATATAATGATAAAGACTGTAAGAATAAAATGATCAACGTGTTGATTTGTGTATGGCTGAACTCAATAGAAAAAATACCACTTAAAAAGCGATGTTTGAGAAAACTGATCTCAAAAATTCAAGAAGTTCATCGAAATAATACAGAATTATCGGAAGGAGTGCGAGGTTCCACATTTATTTATTTTCTTATATTGAAGGAAATTTGTATAGAAGAATTGTGCGAATATATTTCAGTGGAGTACCAATGCTATTTTGGCTAAGTTTCAATTGGTTGCTGCTGAAATACGGAACCTAAAAAAGAGAGTTTTTTGCAGAATGTATTGGTTTAAGCCATTATTTCTGTGGTAGGCAAATCAAGTATATGAACCCAATTCCATAGGTTGTTGCCAAAAAAATCCCCAAATCTTCTTTGTTTTATGTCAGAACCTTTGCTTTTGGTATGTTTAAAAGGGTGGAGATAAGTCAAAAGCATTTTTCTTGCGATTTTTTCAGAAATTTTTTATTTCTTAGACAATATTCGATATTTTTTTATCTTTGCATCTAAACGCAATCTCTTGTTTGATTTTTTGCTTTTTAAAATTTTTCGCTGGAAAACTGAAGGAAAAAAAGTGGAAAAATTTAGTTAAATCTAAACAATTTTTTTTGAAAAAATTTTTCATATTTAATTTTTCTGATTTTCATTCTTTTAACAACTTTCGAGTCAATAAAAAACTTTTTTCTTTTTAATCTTTCATTCATTATTTTCTAATTTATCAGCGTTAATATTTATTTCATTATTAATATATTTCGGTTAGTTGGTAGTGCGTTTCGGCTTGCTAGCGATAGGGATTTTACTTTTAAAAATCGGTGAAGCACTGTAAGAAGTCAAAAAATATTCTGTAAACTCATTTTTTAGCCTAAATTTATTCGTTTATTTTTCGACTTCGTGAAAAGAATTCTGCTAATATTGATTATTATCGAATGGAATTTAAGCAGTTTTTTCCTGCAGCATTTATTTTGACTCCAAAAATTTGCTTCATTTTCGTTGATTTTTTTTATTCATTTGCATTTTCTTTTTTCGGCTTTTTCGATGAAACTATTAACTTACTGCCTAAGCTCAGTCAATCAACTTTTCGATCTTTTTAAACAGTATTCTCCCCTTTTGACTTGTCGGCAAATTCTGTCAGGAGTCACTATGATAGAAGTGCGGTTGGCCACCTGGATTTTCGAAAAACAAGTTTACTCCTACGGAATGAGAAGTTTACTCTAGCATAGGTATTCCGATTAATAGAGTATTTAACCTTTCCACCCTTAGATTTTATTTTTGGATTATTTTGTTTTTTTTAAGTTTTAATTCGTAAATCTTTGAAAATTCTGTTTTTTAATTTTTGCGAAACGCGTTTTTTCTTCACATTCATTAGTATGAAATGTTTACCGATGGTGCTTATCACCTACTCTTCTAATCCATAACAGCCAGTGAAGGCCAGCTTAACCAGAAACAGTGAGTGCTGGCCACTTATTTTTCACTTTTAATGAACTAAACCATTAATTCGTTTATTTTTTTTCAAAGTTTTTCAGAATTTCGAGGAAATTCATTTAGAAATTTTACCTGAAAATAATTAGCCAAAAAATTTTAATTTTTTTTTTTACAAAATTTCTCTTAAAAGATCACTTGATAATTTTTTATGAAAAATTTTGATTCATTCGCCAGTTGGTCGTTTATCTGTTGTATCTTTTCTCTTCTTTCTTCGATTTTTACCTTTTCTTTTTCTATTTCAATCAGCATTTATTGGTAAAATTTTTTAAGGCATGCGTTCAATATGGTTTTCTATAAAGGAATTTATTATAAATGGTTTTCATCGCATTCATCGAAAAGTTTTAAATGAGTTATTATTTATCTGGAATAAAAGTAAACTTGACCAATCTATTAATAAAACAGAGTCGCATTTTCCGGATGATTTATGGTTGGTTCATTTCCAAAAAATTAGTTTTCGTCAAAAATTCTCATCAATAATGCAAATTTTTTAAATGATTTGATTTTACTGTGAAACGTTTTGACATGACATTTGTATAAAATTTTGGGAATCTGAATTGTTAAAAAATGAAGCATTAAATCTTTATTGTAATACTTTTAATAGTTTTAATCGTTTTAATTTTAGAAAGAAATGAAAGAAAAGAAATCATCACGAGCAAACTAATGAATTATTTTATTTTCTACTGAGCTTAATAATTTCATTGTGGCCTAATATTGTCACATTGTGACGACAATATTGACAATACAATAATATTGTCACATTGTGAAGACTGGCTCTCTTGGTACCCAACAGATAGACTTATTTACAGCGTTGTATTTCATGAATACACTATTTTATTTATTTCACAGAAAATCAAGAAAGGGCATAGCGATGTACTTTTAAGTTGTATAATAATAAAACAGTGCAATTTGATCAAATAATATTTATTTGTCTGATTTGATTTTTGACGTGATAGAATTCATAATTTCTGGAAAAATATCGTTAATACCCATGTTCTTAAAATTATTTGATGATGTTTCAAGTTTTGTTATAAAAGATTCTAAAGTTATAAATTTTTATAGCTTTTTTCTTGCGTTGCTTTTCATTATTTTATTTTAATTAAATGTTTAATTAAATATTATATTTTGCAAAGTTTTTTAAATCACTCTTTGTTTATTTGATGAAAAAAAAGTTTTACTTGGATAAATAATTTTCAGGTCGAAAGTATTTGATTACAGCTCGCCTATTGATTTAGTGAGATGGATGCGGGTCAGCAGAAGATTTCAAGGGCTAATTCGTGCTAGGTTTAGGAATATTCTCTACCTTGAAATTTATAAATCCGATATTTATTCTATTTCGTCGAAGAATGAACCAATAAATGGTTGGATATTTCGCTTAACAATTATTTTTGATCAGCCTGAACGTAAGTGTCATGGGTTAGATACTTGCACCTTGAAAAAAGTAAATCTGTCTAAATTTCGCAATTTAAATGAAAAAGAATTTGATTGAATTTGACTGAACTGAGCAAAGCAGTTCAGCTGTGAATGTGGTTTAAACCACCTTTCACTGAATAAAATTTATCTTGTTGTTACCTTTTGTTACTTTTTTTTTGCCCTATAGAATTTTCCTAATAAGTATCACCAACTGCAGTTATCTACTGATATCTTATTACTACTTCTCTCATTACCTGAATTTCGCCATTATTAATGATTTCGTTAACAGTACTTTTATTGGTCTGAATAGAAGAAATCATATCTTTTTAAAATTTTCTGACATAAAGTTATAAAACATGTTGGTCAAATTATTTTTAAATAACTTTTTTCTGATGCAATCCGACAAAAAAACCATTTTTGCACCATATTAGTGAAATCGCGACGACGAATTTTACTTAGAAACATTTTCTCGATCGGGCCATAGCTTTCTTTTTCTTGTTATTTTTAATTAAAATTTTTTCAAACAGAATGTGACAATAAATGATTGTAATTAATTTTCACAGGGTGTAGAGCGAGCAGTTTTCGAAAATTCTCAAAAAAATTTTAAAGGACAACTTTTATAAAAATCTTTTTTGATTGTCTTAGGTGTCTTAGCCATTTTTTAACGGCACATTATAAATGATTGTTTTCAGGTACATTTTATAAATATGGTCAGATTTTGGCTGAAGCAACTCAACGTTCGATGAAATTTGTTGTTCATGATAAATGGTCATCTATTGATGTTCAGCGATTATTCAGTGCCATTCGTTTATTCGCTCCACTGGTACATACTGTATCGGTACATTTCGGTTTTGAATAAAACATAGGATGCATCATTGACATTCCTGTCTTTTTTTTATTCATGCTTCTAGGTTTGATTACTCTTGTTTTTATGGTGTCACTGTGAGACGAATCCAGTTTCCTTCCTGGTTTCAAAATATTAATTTTTCTAGCATGCTTTCAGCGTCTTCTTATTGTCTTTTACTAGAGCTTTCGAATTTTCTGCACCTTTTTATTTTTTCTATTATAACTTTAAAGCATTATTTTCCAATTTCTTCCAGATTTATAAGGTTTTGAACGATTGGTCTTTATCATTTATAAATTCGCACACAATATGGCAGTTTCAGATGGATGTTTCCATTTTGGAATTGGTTGTAGCTGGAGTCTCAAGCATGGATTTATCTAGGTGGTATTCCTTTCAATGCTATCTTCAAAAATTCAGTGATTCAGTGGGAGAGGAATTCATGCATCTGCATTGTATAGCGACATTTTCCGACCAATCGTTATTTCCTAAGCTTAAAGAGGTAAATTTGCTTCAAACAGTCTTCTTTGATTTTCGCAAAAATTGTCTTCGATTGAAAAATATTTCTCTCTTGTGTCGTAATTGCCTTTTTTCTTGACTTGACAATTTTTTTTTCAGGCAACTATACGAGTAAATGAAAAAGAATTTTCTATTTTGTCCCGAATAAGTCAATATGCGATTAAAGTGAATGGAATTTTTCCGATAGAGTCACTGGAAAACTTTCGTATAAGCCTTATATCCAATCATGGTCACCTCACTGTTTTCAATGCATCAAGAAGAAAGAACGCGAAATCCTTGTTGATTTTCAAAGATTGGATTGGGATTTCAAATCTAAACGAACGTTATTGTCAACAATATGTCATACCGTGCAAGTAATCAACGATGGGTTTTGCATATACCATTAAAGACATTTTTCTTTAGAATCATTAAAAAATATAGAATTAAATAAAATAGTGGAACTGTAGATGGAAATTTTGATAAAGTACTGTAAATATGTTCATATGATTTCGCTATATAAATTGTATTATATATTTTGTATGTATATTTTAATATCATTTAAAGCTTTATGTAGAAAATTAAACTTGATATTGTATTAAAAAATTATTTTATTTTATTAAAAGAAAATTTCATTAAATTTATTGCTCTATTTGTGTTAGAAATTAAGTATTGGCCAGAAGGAATTTTCTGATATAGAATTTTCCAAATGAAATTGTGTCAGTAATACTTTGCCTCGTCTTTGTTCAACAAAAAATTTCAATTCATTGTTCAAAGATTGGTCCATATTCCTTTTTATTCCGTCTTCATTCAAGGATTTAAGGACCATTTAAGGGTTGGATTTCCGAAATTCTTGGAAATCAAAAGAATTATTTACTATATTTAATATACTTTTGTTATCTCAAAAATATCGCCTATTTGTTATTAAGATTATTAATATCGCTTATTAAGATTCCAAGGCCAAGGCCTGATTCTTGTCGAATTATGCAACTTTTTGGTCATCACTACCCGATTATATTTATGTCTTGAGCTTTTTTATTTTATCCATATTTTCTTTGTTTTCATCCAAATCGTCACTCCTGGACCACTTTTAATTTATTGTCTTTTATTAAATGAATTGTGCATGAACTGATATTAAATTTGAAATATTTAATAGAAATCTATACAAAATGTTATTAACTGCAGATAACATTTTCACCAGAAAAATATAAACAATTATTAAATCTAAAAAGTCATAATTTAAGGAAAACAACCAGCCTTTCTTATCAAATATCATTTAAGTCTTTCACAATCGAAGTACATAGACTTTCTTAGAAAGTTTATGAGTAATGAATGGAGCTCTAAATAATCCTTTCTTCAAAGGAATATTCAGATAAATTTTGGGCAATTTGAATAAATCGAAATGATAATTAGAATGATGAAAAGAATGCTTTCCAGCCACCGTGAATGCAATTATTAAAACGTATAAATCAAATTAATTGAAGTCAAAAACAATGCAGTAAGAATAAGGAAATTGTAAACACCGATCAGTTAAGATCAATCAGTTCAAAGTTTTCTTTATACTTATAAATTGAGAAACCGTTTATTTCCAAAATGTATGATAGTTACATCGGAAATAAGGAGCTTTGCGGCATAAAAAGTGTGAAAAAGGCTTATATCGTAGTGGCGTTATTGAAAATAATTCTTTCTTCGATTCTTCGATCCAACAAGGACGAATGATCATAAGAAATCATCAACTTATGCATGGATGGTAATCGGCGATCTTCGATGCTAAGAATAGTTTCTGGCCATGGCTGCGTAAGTCTAAGACAGTCATCGCTATTCCGTAGCGGATTAAGGTATAAATTTTTGTGATTTTCTTTTTCTTCCTTAGTGATGAGGGATAAATTAAGCTGTTCTAGTGACGATTTTCGATCTATAATAATAATTAAGCATAAATTAAATTTCAGTCAATGATTTGGTCAATTTGCATTTAAACTATAAAATGGTTAATAAGTAACAGAATGCATCAAAAATTTTTCTTTCGTTAAACTTAGGCTTCGCTACTGATTTAGAAAAATAATTTCACTGATATTTTTCAGTGCTTTTTTTCAATTTCTATCATAAAACATTAATTCTAACGTACTATAGTTACCTGGTAGAAATATTGAATCCTTTAATCCAATCGATGCTATGCTATGGCGACGCTTCTTGTCACGACTGGTTAGGGATTTAGTTGGAAAAATTTCAGATAAGGCCGACTGGTGAACCATGGTTTGTTGTTGAGGATAACAACAAAACATAAGGGGAGGAAATTTATACATATAAAGGTTCATTAATATTAAGGTTATAACTAGCAGTAGCAAAATGATGACGATGAGCATCCATTTAGTAAAATCGGAAAATTCTGTTGCTAGACCTGAAAGAATTTTGTAAGAGAGGGCGATTATTAAATCAAGTTAAAAACGGACTATCAAAATAACCTAACCCGAGATATAAAACTAGAAACTCAAAATCGCTAATATTAGTTGAACAGTAAATTCCTATCATCTTAACCTTCATCTTAACCTAGTGTTCTTTTTCATTATTTTTTGGAATAAATTCTTTGGACAAATTATTCGGAATGTTGATTAATATTTACTCGTGTGATGCTTGGCTGAGTTAACATCCAGTAATGATTGTTCATTTCGATGACTGTATTCATAAACTGTGGTCACCGCATTCAGTACAACACTGGCAGCCAATCGCTGCTGCAAACGAGCCATTATATATGCTTTTGTGACCATAACATCACCAGAAAATTTGAGCGAAACCTAGAAGATTTTTATTTTAAAAAATTATAATCGAATGATAGCGAAAAAATATTCCAATGGGTGTGATGAAAAACTACTCATAAAATTTTTTTATATTTTATGAGGGGGAAAATAAACGAAGCTTATGAATTTAATTCAACGATTCACCACAGAAAAACATGAAAAAATTTAAAACTAACATACTATATCAACATTAAGAATATCACTCGCAACTTTTTTGCAATCGAAGCCAACTTGTCTCATATTCGCGGTAATAGCTTCAAGAAGTAGGTGGTAGCAAATGTCATCAGTTGTCGTTCCCTGAAAAGCTCTTCATCACCTCTCTTATTTATTTATTTTCTGCGCAAAAATTGAGAAAAATTATAATTATCATAATAATTATCATTAATTATTTAGGACCCGCTTTAATTTTGCCTCTATGATTTGCAGGATCATTGTAATAAGTCATCCAGTGAGTAAAATCATGACTGAAGACATTCATTCCTAGACATTTTGTCTTCTTAGAAATTATAGCAATTTGAGATAATCTATTAGCAGAAGAAATAGAATTTTATGGAAATAAAGTGAAAATATGGACACTAACATCTGGTAGCCGTTGCAGATCCAGTCCAATTAATAATCTGGTGCAACTTTTTTTCGTATTTTCTCTTCTGTTCGGTCGCATACGACATAAGCGCAAAGTTGCATTTTTCTTCAACTGAATTGGTGGCACACATTGACCTCGGGGCAAAGTGCAATTCCCATTCAAGCATTGACTGCTTTCAATAACATTGCAGTGCTATAAAAGGCAAAAAGATCGTCAATTTTATTTAGCAGAGAATCAGTGTTAAATGCTCTTAGAAAATATGTCGTTATGTAACTGCTTGGTAAGTAGCCACTGCTTATGGAAAATTGGACCAATTCTAGATATCACTCTACATTTTTTCCACAGCTTACGTATTAATTTCATCTTATAATTAACCGAAAGAATTTTAAGAAAACCTGATCTTTAGGACAAAAAGCGAAGTCTGCAGAAGCGGCTTCTCGTTTATAACAATCGTTTGGTTCACAACGTCTTTCTGTACAACTAATAATCCCCTAAAATTATTTCCAAGCATTTATATTGTTAATATTAAAATTTATCAGCAGTTGTAAATATAAATAAATAAATGCAAATAAATAAATATGAGAATTTGAACTATTTGATATAAAAGAATTGGGTTGGAAAAAAAAATGCGATTTATCTTCAATTATCCTTTTCTCTTCAACGTAAAAGGTACCAGAATCATCCGATAAATAAAAGTTTTTTGTCTGGTTAGATGAAACTGTTTGCTCTATTTAACTTCGCCACCTCCCTCCCTTCCTTTCTTCAGTAATTATGAGAGATTATTAAAAAACAAAAAATTTGAAAAAATTTTTACTATAAGTTTTAATAAAAAAGCCTTGCATGACTTTTTAAAATGGATTCAGCACTTTTATTTTATCTTTCTTCACTTTAACTAATTTCATTTTTTGTGTTACAGGAAGAATTTTTTGGATTTTAAAAATTACAATATTGATGGTTATTCCGTTAGATATATAAGCTGTACTCCTTTTTTGGCATTCTAACGGATCCAAGCTTTCAATTATTCGTTTTTAAATTCATATCTATAGAATTCCCTATGACTACTCTTATAACTAAAAAAGCTACAGTAGTTTTCCTTTAATTCCTCATTCCTATCAGTTACGAATGAAAGAGTTATATTAAGTAAAGTCGTAAAGAAAATTGCTTAATAAAATTAGCATAAGATTTTCACTGAATAAAGTAATTTTAAAATATCAATATTTACATTTTCACAAATACATTGTCTGCAATCAATTGTGGTCCATGAAAATCCGTCTTGTATGTGACTAAAATCAGCTAAAACACAGTTGCTTGAAGCAGCTTTATATAATACCCCTGCAAAAATTCTTGTACAGAAATTCTTCACTGAAGTTATTCAATAACGAGCTACTCCTTCAAATGCTTTAGTAACTTTCTCACATAAAAAAGATACAAATATAACAAAATAGGATGATCCATGCCTAAATTAAACAAATAAGTAATTTTTCAGAGCTAATTTTATTCATAAGTCTTTTTTTATTCAATATGGTGCTCACTTTCATTTCTTGTTGGAGTATCTAAAATTTTATATTGACAACGATCTCCATAATACATAGCGTTGCAGAAACATTCAGATTTAAAATTATTCGTCATACATTTGCCAAATGGACCACAGTCAAGATTTTTACATGGATCTACCTGAAAGGTGAACAGAAATTCATTTGAGAGAGGTACAGGGAATATGTGGTAACAATGCTCTCATATTTGCACCTCAATGTAAGAAATGAACAATTGCATTTCAGATAACCATAGTTTTTGCCCATCTTTCAGCAGAAGTTCATTTATGACAAAACTTACCAGATATTCACAATTTCGTCCCGTATATTCCTTGCTGCAATTGCAGTAATAAAAATTTTGTCGCCCTCCACTAGAGCATTTGCCGTCGTTTTTACATGGAGCATTGTGAAAACAGTAGTCCAAATCCCTTTAAAAATATATTGGATACATATAAATAAATATATAAGAATATATAACAGTGGCGAAAATTTTAAAATATTTGGAAACTTTTATTATTAATCAAGACAAAAAATTATTTACGTAATTTCAGACACCAGTTGGCTCTTTAGGAAAGTTCGTGCCAATCTTTATCAGTTCGCGAAAGGTTTTATAAGAATAGCAAACAAATTTTTGCTTATCCCTACAAAAGAGTATTTCTAAATGCTTCCAGCGAAAAAAAAATCGAGATTTGTTTATGAGAGCCATTTTTGTGAAGGCATAGTAGTGAATAAAGCTTGGAATACGAGAAGACAGTGGTTAAAGAATTGTTCGTAAATGGTCCACTATATTTACAATTGCTGAAAAATTTGTTGAAAAATTCGATGATGCTGGCTATCTAAGTCAACTTCCATCCTTAATGGACTCGCAACTTCAAAGGATTAGAAAGCCAGATAAACCCTCTTTTGTTGACCATAGTAAAGTTGACGTAGAGGATGAGTTCCCACCAAACAACCAGTCTGTAGTTTCCATATCTATGTTAACCACAAATAGGTGAACTAAAGGTAGCAAGCAGGTGAAAAATCTAGAATTAGTCAAAAGGAGTGTGAAAAAAAGTGGTGTTGTGTTCCATCAGATCAGTGGTGCCTATCCTTTCTATTCACCAGACATTCAGAGTCACTTGTTTATCTCCACAAAATTTCTTGGCAAAAACTTTTGACATTTTATGCCATATAAAAAACAACTTTTAACTGTTTTTCTGCAAGAAATCTAATTTTTAGGCGGTAAAAAAAATAAATGGCTAGTGCTCATCATTTCATGTCGGATTCACTTTTCTTGTCTATCAAAGAATCACTTAGCGATACAAATGAACCTTCAGCACCGTATGTATTTTTTGATAACAGGTTTACTCCTTCCTCTCGTTCTGGGAGCAAAAACCGAGCCATTTCCTCTTAACATGTAAATATGAGCCATTAACATCTCGGCTATACTACTTTTAATAGAAGAAAGTGGCATATACCTAATGAGAAAAATAAATAAATAAATACAGCCTCGAGGCTTTTCTTAAAAATCGATACGAATTTTCCGCGAGAGCCGACAATTTCATATATGAACTTCCATCAAAAATCGAGAGGGAGAATAGAATATTTAAATTGGACAGTGAAATTTATAAGATCAAAAAAATGGCTACTTTTCGCAAAACATTCCTCCCCAGTTTTTCTTGCATATGCATTCATTTGCTTTGTTGCAATAACCATTTTTGCATCCGTTAATGACCTTGCATTTCTCACAAAATTCACCATGCCAACCAGGTCGACACCTTTAAATAGGTTTTTGGAAAAATAGGTTGGAAATATTATAATGCAACTCTGGGAGTTAAAAATTTGCATTGAAAATTGCTTAAGTTATTTTTTTTGATGAGTTTTCACCATTAAAGGTTAAACTCGTTCCACTGGCATTGGGCAATATGTCTCTTGGCGATAGAAATACAGGTGAGTAGCCAGCACCACCCGGACTTTTGCACAGGTTTACTCCTGCAGGAAATCGAACCTCTGCATCAGCGCTCCCAATTGAGCAACAACCAACTGAGCCATTCTATCACCGCTTAAATTATAGCATATAGAAAGATTTTATCGCATTTGACAAATAGCTTCGCGAGTCTATGGCTAATTCTTATGTTGAATAAGTAAGAGCTTTTTCTCAAAGCAGTTCCAATTTTTTTAAGTTCAACATTATTCTGATCATTCGTTATTGAAATAACCTGCAAGTGTTCGGTGCTATGCATATTCCATAAATACAACTGTTCTCGCAGACAGGTTCATCGCAGTTATGGCCTGCCCATCCTTTATGACAAAAACGCTCACCGGAGTTTGAACAATAGAAGTGAAATCTAACAAAATGATAAGTACAGTGAAATTAATTGAAGTTTTGGAATATTCTGGAATATTGGCATATGTTACCGTTTAATAAAGCTTTTATTCGAAATTTACTCTTTTCCTAATATTCACTACAGGAAATCCTACTTTTTTCCAAGGTGCGGAAGTTTATTTTCTTTTTTCTTTCAAGAGAACAGACTCGGTTTAGCTGCTTCCGCTGAATAAAGAGGATTAATATACAGGTGAATCCCCAGCACCATGCAGATGTACTCATGATGTTAAACTACTGGCAAAGTACGGAAATCAACTTTGCGCCATGTTTCACCATTATATGAAGTACCATAGAACTCAATCACCGTACTGCATTCTTTGCTAAGAACATTTTCATTGCACTTCTCTTGCATCCTGGCATCGGTATAGAATTACCAGCCTTTAAAACTGCCTTAAGTCGACAGCTTTTTTCAAATGCATTTCATCTTGATCCAAGTAAAAATAATGAACATGCAATATACAAAAATGCAATATACTAAAAATGGATTCGATGTCGATAATTTTTTTTAGGAGCACCATTGTTGATTGGACTCGCTCCGTTGGCTTGTTGGACTAGACAAATGTGTCAGGGAGATCACCCGGGATATAATGCATATATGAGGTGATGAATCAGTTTTGTATATTGTATTTTGTATTATATATATTTTGTAAAATATATTTATCTTGAAGTTTGCATTTGCATGCAAGCGGATAAATTTGTTGCAGTAATTCGTTAAAGAATTGTACCTGGATATATTCGGATTACAATATGTTCTACATTCTGGTCCATAGTAAAACTGGTTGCATTCAATTTTCAAATCATAAGCTATCGACTTATGGTCCTCCTTCTTAACAAAGAAATAGATTAATGGATCACCTAATAAATAGAAATGCCTAATAAATAAAAATGCGATTGGATGTAATCTTGAGTGGCAAGAGTAGGAGTGTAATGGGAATAACTCCTATTTAGCTCAACTTATAGGATAGAAATCGAATAATTTAAGAAGCTGGAAAGGCTGAAAATTCATAAATACTTCGAAGCTTTAATTTCGATTGGTAGCAGTCACTTCATTAATTTTACCTCAGCAAAATGCATTGCTGGCCCATTAGGTGTCGGTGATTGGGATAAGAATTGTTTTGAACACAACATTGTCGTCTTTGATGCACTGTGTATGATTTCCACAATAAGTGATATATTCTATAAATTACCATAATGTATAATAATGAATAAGATTCTAAGAATTTTCAAAGTATAGAGATTCTTTGCGGCTTTTCCCCACTGGCGCTGCATAATTAATTATTTGAAAACAAAATGATGCAAGAAAAAATGAAAGGCGAAAGCAAAAACGACACCGATTCTTTGAAATCCATGCATAAATCTAAATTGAAAATTTAGAAAAAAAAATTGAAAAGGATTAGTTGCGTTAAAGACAAATGAGATCAAAACCTGCATTATTATTTTTATGAATAAAAATAAACAATTCCATTTCTATTGTATTGTAAATATAAATATAAATAAAAGATGGTAAACTAATTAAAAAACCATATTTAAAGAGAAATGGCGGAAAAATTGGGCTTTATACATATAGATCAAATGGTGGCAACCCAGTGTATTTCCCTTGATTTCCCTGGCGAAAATTTCTTATCATAGTAACCGCTAACAAAACAAGGCAATAAGAAAAGATGAGCGTTTACTTACATACATGCATAAGAATACAATTTAATACAACTTTGTAAACAAAACTTAATCTAATGAATGGCATAAATTACTAAAAAGGTATAAATTACTATAAATTACTAATTAATAAAATTACTAAATTTATTATAATTAATAAATGCGATTCAATCGATTGTCACGAAATTTTTAGCTTCGTTTGCTAATGCTCTATTTCATCCATTAAAGAATATGGTTAACTTTGACTATTTTGAAAAGTTTTGACAAAGAATCAAAAGCTAAAGTGTACTTGAAACTGCTATTTAAAGGCAGTAAATCTTTCCGATAGCGACTAAATCGGCTTTTCAGATTAAAAAACCATAGGGAAATCTGGCACTGAAGTGGGCATTGAAGATGAAATTATTCATCTCTCTCCTTGTCGAAATTATTAGAGAACTTTTCAAGCATCACCCGAATTTTTGTACAGGTTTATTCCTGCGGGAAATCGAACCTCAGCATCGGCGCTCCAAACTGAGCAACAACCCACTAAGCAATTCTATCCTCAGATCAGAGATGGTGCAAAAGAATGAACCGCTCATGGAAAAAAATTATGCTTGCGCTATGCAAGCAACCAACGTATGTGTGTTTACTGGTTGTTCAAAAAGGTCTGCAACAATATTTTATTGAAAAGCATAATTAATGTTTTTTGTGAGTTTGTTTTAGAATTTCTGGGCACAGCACAGTGCTTACGCAAGAAATGTGGCAATCACAGCAGCTAGTGAAACAGAGGACAATTATTGCCATGAAAGACACATTTGGTATGAACTGAATTTAATTAAGACGAATAGTTTAATAAATTATCGAAGATCTTAATCAATGTTGATAAATCATAGTTTTAAGCTATTAAACTTCACTGAAACACACAATATTTTTTGAATAAACTTGGAAAGAATTGTATTCTCGTCCTTAGAAAAAAACTTTTAGAGCTAATGCAGCTGAAAAATTGGCTAAATTTTCATAAATTTTTATTTTTTCTGAAAGCGGAAAACTCAAAACTTCTAAAATTTTTATTTTCGGGAGAAAGTCGCATATTCCGTTTAACAAAAAGGTTTGAGGTTTTAAAAAATCGATGATATGACCTCATGAATTTAATGTTCTTATAAACTGCTATTTTCGAGCAATAACCAATCGCTGTTTTCAGGTGGCGCAATGTAATTGTTAGACATTTCAGCAATCTCGAGTATACAATACTTGACCAATCGACCAACCAGCTGCTCTATATTCTCGGTCAGTTGACCACTGACCCACTGTGTGGAAAAATTTAGCCAGAATATCACAACATTGTCACATCTAAGCTATTGAAAGCATGTCTAAAGTGGCTATATCGATTATATAAACTTTCACTAGTTTTTTTTCAGAATGTAGAATAATTTCTCATTTTTTCCTTTTTCTTACAGAGGCCATCGAGGGGAAATTTTTCAGAAATGCTATTGTTTGTAAGCGAAGGTATTAAGAATAATAAAATAACAGAACGCCAAAAAAATTAATTAGTATACTCATCAATTATAATATTATCTAAATATTTAACAACACAACAACGGGTACTTCGACAAATGTTTAACAACACCACAACGAGTACTTCTACATGTTCTGTAATGGCAGATGGTTGTTGCTGGTTGGATCAGGTTTAAGATAGTTCTTCCAGCTGTCGTTTATGAGCATTATCATGTTTCTGCTTTTAAAGCAATTATTCGAGCTTAATTGACCGTATCAACTTTTCGACCATTGTCCAAATGCCATACAATCTTCTTTATTTCTACATTCTAACCACTTTATTCCATCAGACGATGTGCTCTTATATTGGATATCGAAACAAGTTGCAATCTTGCAATATCAAATGTTTTTTGCCTTGAAATTGCGCTTTTAATTTGTTATAAACGTTCTATCCTCGTTTTTTTCTTAAAAACTTAAAATAATTTGCCTAGCAGCCACACGAAATAATACATCTGCAAATTTATATCAATTAAGGAAATCTGAAGAAATTCGCGAATTAATTTTAATTGCATAGTATTAGCGAAAAAAATGTTTTTTTCGCTATCCCATTGATATCGCAGCTGTTGTATAGATAAAAGGAACATTTAAACAATAATGAAGACAGCTTTGAAATATATAGGATATGCTACACACTGGTTAGTTTTACAGCTGCCTGCCTTTCTAGGTCATAAGTAGGCGAAAAACAAATTATCCATATCTACAAATTTAAAGCAGAACTGGAGAAATCTGCATGAAAAAAAGAGTAGAAGCAGCTAGAAATCAATGATCCGAGAAATGTACTATTATCATTGGTAGAATGAAAACGAAAAAAAATTATCAACAGATATATCTCATAAACTCAACAACCACTTGTGATCTATTAAAAGCCTTTACTATTAAGATTGTCAACTTGATCTTTCAAAACTTGAAAAAAGCCAATATTAGTTGGCTATGATTTCCAAAATACATTAAAAAAATTATATCATATTACCACTTTCTTAAATTACCTCAATTTAATTTAAATTACAATCACTCTCAACATATTTTAGCATATTTTTCACTATGAGATGAAATAAATTTTTGGGGCCCGCCAATTATTTCAAATTTCATTTCTGAAGAACTCTTGTTTTTTTATATGTCATGCACGATTTATCCGAAAGCTTTCGGATCCGAAACCAATGTGCCATGCAAATTTGGATATGAAATTTTCGTTGATTAAAGTTGGTTGTTATCAATTAAGTATTGATGTGATGACTTATCACCAAATGGAAGTGGTTCATCGTGCGCAATGGTGACTAACAACTGATCAGTAAGATAATTATTTGGTAGCCGTTACTTTTGATTTTTTTGCCTTGGCGGCGAGATAACGAATACGTATGTTTTCAATTTAAACGTATTTTGCCCAATAAAATATCATATTTTGACTCTATTTCACAGATGAACTGTCAAAAATTAATGGATAGGAAGTTTTTCAATAGTAGTATATTGCAAATTTCGGTTTCAATGGACCGTTAAAGGACGTACCAGACTATCCTCCTTTAAATGCCGATTTTATTCGATTAATTGCTTTTCTCATGGCAACTAGATGGTTTTATAATATAACTATTCAAAAGCAATGGAAAATTCTGAGTGAATAAAGTAATTGAACAATGTAGACAAGATAATCTAAATAAGATGGATCCAATTCAAAACCTCTTAAGACAAAAATATTGAAAATTGCGCTTTTTCCAACTCTTCCTATCGTATGCCTAAAGAAATCAATTTGAAATGCTTCATTTGATTCAAAATATAGAATATACCGATTAACAACATACAACATAGAAAGAAAGAGATAAAACAATTGTGAAAAATGCAAATCACGATTATGGAAAAATAGATGCTTAGAATAAGAAAAGGATTAAAAAAGTTCGGAATCTGAAAGAACTTTTCGATCCAATTGCAATTAAGATTTTGGCTATTAATTATTTGTGTTTTCTCGATGTGCTCATGGTTATGGTGAACTAACAGCATTCACCATTTCTAGTTTGGCTGGTCGTGACTGCTAGCATGGAAGCTCATCACTTGGCGATATAAGTATAGCCGGCCTCAAACTCTACCTGTGGTGACGCATAAGCATACGTAAAAAAGCAATAATCAAGTATTGTGGTATAGTTAAACAGTTAATATGTATGAAATACAAAATGATCAAAAAATTATGTATTGATGCAATCGATGGGTCATTTGATTGATTATACGTTATTATTATTATTTTTGTTGAATTAAAAATGAAACCAACTTTTAAAGGCCAACGAATATTGAATGGAACTGAAATATTGTGAGCGCCGATTAACTGATTATTGAACAGAATTGATGATATATGATGGACTAGTGAGCAGTCGCGATGATTATTTGATGACTGCATTCGCACACCAACGCATATTCGCAGATCCAATTGGCACCAGCAGTCATCTTTTCCTGAAAAAAATGGCAACGGCTTAAAAGGTGCAACAAGTAACTTCATAATAATTAATGGACGCTTAACGAGGCTTGAAAGCTTCCTTTTTACTATATTGCTTTAAGGCAAAAGATGGCCCAAGGAAGTGCGATATAATTTTAAATTAACCTTGGTGATGACAGCAGATTTGAGCCAATTTCATCTGCTCAATTTCCAGTTTGCGTAGGCTGAATCTTACTGAGCCCATTGATTTTACTTCGCTTATACTCTACAAAAATATGATAGATAAGCCGAATTAAAAAAAAGTTCTTTAGAAATCAAATCTTTTGAATTGTTGAATAATTAATTTTTGTCGAAAAATGTGTCCCACTTAATCCATTATATCGTCAATAAGTATTCTTTTGTTCTTTGAATGGCCAGTGACCCTTCATATAAACAACATATGTTTGGTATCATGCTTAAGCTTAAGTACTCAATACATCATTCTTGAGATATGCTATCGTACTTCAGTTGAGAACAAGGTAAACAGAAGATGTTTTAAGACTTCATAAACGAATCTTTAGAAGATGATCTATTGCCTAATACCAAAAGGCTCAGTTTCTAAATTCCTAGTTATTTTGTCATTTTTGCTTGCAGGTATTTGCGATAAACACAATGAGACTCCTGAAATGGTCAAGACAAAACGAAAATTTTGGAAATTTGTCGTTTAATAAGTAAGTAAATACTGCAAAACTTTGGGAAAAAAATCAAGCTAAAAAATTATAGAAATAATATATCATTAATGTAATGCATCATGAATGCTCCATACATTAATGACTCATAATCGCCCAAA